CTTTATCATTCGAAAGTTTTTACTAGTAAAACGAATTTTTCGTTTGAAAGTTTTACAAGTAAAACGATAGCATTAATAATAGCTTGGATTATTATTGTCATTTTAGTTATTTTATTATTGTTAAAAGTTGTAAAATTTAGTTTAAAAATCCAATCATCAAATTGAATTATAATGTTTAGGATTATTTTCTCTTTTGTAAATTAAATAAACGTTCGATTTAGTCCGGCTAATCTTCTTTTGAGAACGACCCGAGTCGGGTAACTCGGTTATTTCTTACCCAAAAATATTGCAAACAATATCCACTAACAACTAATCATACTACTTTTTTTAAAATTAACTATAGTTAAAAAAACAAACCAAATAAAAACTCGTTGAAACCATAAACAATCACACCCTTACCCTCCATGGATGATTCAACGACAATTTCATTGATGTGAACCTGATGTGTCCTGACTTGAACTAAGAATCGATTGACCAACCCTTGCATCGAGTCTTCAGATACAGGTCCACCGTCCATTCTAAACGAGCTCCAGATGACCCATGACAAGATCAATGAGAGCATCCGGCAACTAGAGACCATCACCGACCGTGCCAGGCAACACTAGAGGTGGCGGCAGTCTAGAAAATCCATGGAGGTCAGGTACACTGGTGCGAGATTGCGGGACCCCAACTCTCGTCGTCCTTAGCAACGTTGTTGCGACTCGGAATTGGGGAAGAATGAGAATGAGAGAAGATAGAAAAATTGTGGGTTAGGACTGGACTGGGACAATTGAAAATAGTAAAGAGGGAGATAGGAAAAGAGAAAAAGGTGGGTTGGGCCTGGGCTAGAAAAAGGAAAAAAAAAAAAAAAAAAGGAAAAGTTGGGCTTGTTGGTATGTGGATTTGTATCAACAGTTAATAATGAACTATGTGTGGAATAGGAAAATAGAATTTTGGGATAAGGGGGGATTTTCTTGTGAAAGTACGAATTTGGACTTAGGATAAGTCGACCTCTTAGAATTTTGAGGTCGACCTTTGGGCTTCAAATGCCTGAATTAATTACAAATTATCATTGTTCCTTATAATGCATGTAGAGAGGGAATTTGTGGAGTTGGAAGGATTTTTTCAAACACCCTCTAATAAATTGAAACTTAAGACTATTTATAGCTAAACATTCTCGACTACTGTTCATCTAACTGTTCACCAGGTCACTTCGTACAGTAAACCATAATGACAGGCAATAAATGAGGTATGGTTGGTCTTAAGTGATGATTAATAGTCATTTAATGTTGATTAATAAGCCTTTAATGAGGACATGTCATCCTATGACTCTACAGGTTGTAGGTCTACAGAGTTGGTAGGTAATCCCATCGATCATCATTGGCTTGTAAGTGGCACTTTTTCATTATTTCTCGACTTTGAGCGCACTTTGAGGTCCGACCTCCAGGATCCTTAAGATCGGACTCCAGTCTTGCTTTGAGGTTAGATTTATTCCTTCTTATCATGAGTTTGGACTTTCCTCTTGCTTCGAGCTCAGAATTTCTCCTCGCCTTCGAGCTCGGACTTTCTCCTCGCCTTCGGGTTCGGACTTTCGCCTCTCCTTGATTTTTTTTTTT